GATGTACTAAAAAGAAAGAAGTACACTATTAACTCTCCGAAGTGACAAATTAATAATGTACAATTTTTGTACCAAATAAATTTTACTGGAAAATTTAAATGCAATAAGGTAAACTTTATTTACCTTAAAAGGATATTTAAATCCTACCAGTATAACTTTATTTGACACATAAGTTAAACAGTCACAAAAGTACAATATCAACCAATCAAAATGTGACAAATTAAAATGTACAACTTTTGTACCTAATAAATTTTACTGGAAAATTAAAATGCAACAAGGTAAATTTTATTTCCCTTAAAAGGATATTTAAGATCCTACTAGTACAAATTTTATTTGATACAAAATGATGAAGTCACAAATAAGTAAAGCCCAAAGCAATGCACGACACACACTATACATGTATGATTGAAGACAAAGCTGAAGAGCATTTAATGCTCAATAGTACATGAGCCTGAGAGTATGGGACACACACACCAAATCATGAAGATTGATTTGGAATTGATCTTTCAGCGGCTAATCAGTGAAGACAATGAAATCAACAATATCTGCTCCAGCACAAGAAGACGTATTTCTACACGTTCAAGATAATTTCATCTCAACCAACGGATGAAAGTAATCAACTGGAAAGGCCTATAAATATAGGTAGAAGCATGAGTTCCAAAACCAAGTTTTTGAGCCTTCTAAGTAGAGAAATCTTATTGAGCATTTAAGAGATTTCTAGCAAAAGAGAAAGTGTATGTTTAGCTTTGCTCTCTGCTCAGACCCATGCTTCACTAAACTTCCAAGTTAGAACTTCTCATTGCTATATTCTGAAAGTTTAGTTCATAGTTGGAGGCTAGAATTTTTGTTATATCATAAATTGTTGTAAACGCTTAGAGGGACAGTGTTATCTAGTCCTAAGTGTGGAAGAATAAAATAGAGTACCTTTTGATCCCTACTGGATCAATTGAGAAAATCTAAAGGATTGAGTAGCCCGGAGTGGTGTGTACTCCTTGTGAAACACCTTCAATCTAGGCCTGTTGTGTGTAAAAGGCTAGATTAGGCACTAAGTGTATTGAGATTAATACTTTAGTAGAAATCCATTTGAAAGAGGGTGGGACTGGACGTAGGAGAATTACACCACCTCTGAACCAGGATATATCGTGTGTTGATTTACTTCCAGTCAACAAAGCACACACCAAAACACTTCTTACACTAAGCAGAGGTTTTAGCAGTTACCTCGGTGATAAGTCCGTATTTAGACACGCATTTGAGGCGTGTTAAGATCGGCTTTTGATGGTTTTCCTAGATTTAAGGTGTTACAAGTCTCAATTTTAGCTCAAGTTATGTTTAACAGGTGTTGGTTCGAGTTTTGTGTCATTTGGAGTCAAAAACAGGATTTTAGAGTTCGGCACTGGCGCTTGAGGAGAAATCGGGATGAGTTGAGAAGCATTTGAGATTTATTTGAGAGCTATGGAGGTCACCGGGAGGTTTACGATGAAGATTTGATGACAAAAGAGCTTTAGGATTGGTTTCGGGATAAAAAAAAGATGAATGAAGCTTGAAAACGACGATCAGAATGACCTTTTGTCAATCGTTCAAGCATATCTATTTGTAGGGAAAACCAAAGGACACGATTAAAGTTGAATATGAAAGCCAACTTCAAGAGATACAAATCATATGAAGACTCCATTTCGAGAATCTGAGAGGAGAAAGGTGAAAACAGATGATGAAGTAAGATGATCCTTGTTGCGATTTCAGAATGACACCTTCCACCCTTTTTATCATATCTCTTGATTGGATGATTCAAATCACATTCAAAAAGTTGGGGTGGATCGAGGACTTCATTATCTACAACTTTCATGAAGGAAGTTGTGTCAAATTCGGAATACAGAAAAGGCTGAAGAACACGGACGCACGGACGTGCGTAAAAGGACGCACGATCGTGCGTAAGAGCCAAAAACGAGACAACTAATCTGCCTGCTACGCACGATCGTGCGTGGCAGGGTACGCACGATCGTCCGTACCTCCAAAACTCGGATTTCAGCCCCTTTTTAGTCCCAGTTCAGCCCAAACTCATCTGTTTTCTATAAATAAGGCCTCCCTTTTCCTGTTTAAGGGTTACGAACATTACGGAGAGGCCTAGGGACGAATTTACTTGCGTTTTTATCATTGTTTACTCCAAGACACTGGGATTATTTGTAAGTTCATCTTTTTAATTAATGACAATTAATTCTATTCATCCCAATTCTGTTGATTCTTCAATTATGAATTGTGAGTAGTTTAATTAGGGATTTGTGGTTGATGAAGGGGTTAATCATGATGTATGGCTAGATTCTTGATGGTTTAATTGCATGAATGCCGTTTAATTTGTGTTTGAATAATTTAACTGATATCTCTTGTAACCTAGAACGACCGCTAGAATTACAATTGCTTATAAAATAAATTAAGAGAGATCTAGTTTATTCTAGGACACATTTACTCACGCTTAATCGTTCGCTAAGAGATTAGTAGCGATTAAGGGGCCGTAAGCTCGCACGTCTTGGCAATAATTTAGGATCCTGTCGCATGAGAGATCAGCATGGTCCCCTAAATTATTGTACTCTATGCCGCGAGAGCGGTAAGAACTTAGTAATGATTAGCTAGGCTCAATTAAATTAATTTCATGTAATTAGGCTTGTTCTGCCAGAAATCTGGTTACCCCGGAATCAATCCCTGTTCCCTTCGTCGTTAATTAGAGAGAAATCAATCTTTTTATTTTATCGTTCACTCGCAATAGTTTAATTTTCTAAACCAACCAATCTCGCACGACGCATTTATTTTATTTATTTTTAATCACTGAATTTAATTATTTCTTGATTCCCTTTTGTCCGTCCCTGTTGAGACGATACTCGTACTTACACCACTATATTACGATCTATTTTAAGTGCGAGAAAACTCACATCAGTTTTTGGCGCCGTTGCCGGGGACGGTGTCGGTTTTAAGGGTTAATTAGTTTCAACGAGATTTTTTTAGTTCGTTTTTTTAGTTCTTCGTAGGATTTTTTTCTGTGCTAACCTTTTAGGTACTTGTTCTTAAGAGGATGAGATGAACTCATTCAACTCGATTTACGGAGGAACACCTTACCCTCAAACCTCCACGGAATATTCACCATTTGCACCATGTCCTCCTCACACTTCTCCTCAACTTTACACACCTCATCAATATTATTCTCCTACACCACAAAATATTCAGCCTTCTTATCCATACACTCCAACCACGCAACTTTTTCATTCCGATTCTTACTATCCGTCATCACAATACCCTTGGGTAAGCGTAAGACCAGACTCCATTCTTGAATTTATTCTTCAAACTAAAACGCCTGAGGAAATATCTGAATGTTTTAAGGATAGCATTTGTTCCTTCTGTGGAGGAGGTCACCATCCTCTATATGACCATCCTTTCCGGGAAACTGCATACCCTTCTTCATCCTCCCCACAATTTACGAATACAAATGTTTCAGTCACTCCTACGTCCTTGCCAAGTAATGAACCACATAATCAGTGTAAGAAGACACTTTCAGAAACTTTGTCTGAGTATCGAGAGTATTTGAGGGAGAGCTTTTTAGCCATGGAGCAGAGCTATTCAAACATCATGAAGCATATAAATACCATAAGGAGTCATCTAGTAGAAGACCAATCCGATGAGACCAATAGGGATGATCATGTGTGCGAGTCAGACTATGATGGAGGGAATATGATAGATGATACACTTCCTGATGCATTTGAAGACCCACCTATGTTTGAAGATGAAGAAGAAGATAATAATGTCAAGCTGTTTTTCGAAGAATACAGGAAAAAGTTTGAAACGGTACAAGTTGTAACTGATGAAGTCACTGATCACCGCGATTTTCATACAGAAACTCCCCAGCCATTTGATTTATCATTAGTCTCAACACCTAAAGAGGAGGGCAAGGAGCAGATTAGTCATGATGATGGTGCTATTGAGGTAGGTTTCGGTATTGAAGATGAGTTCAGAAAAGATGATTACATGCTCCAAGAGAGTGAGGGCGTGTTACATGATGTTCATAATGAAGAAGTCCCGCTCCACAAGCGAGAATTCCCCTCTTGTACACATGCACCGGTCCACTTTTACGTGGTTTCAGATATGGACTTCTTTGATTCACTCCTTGATGACGATATTCCTTTTTGTGTGGAGAATGACAACATCATCCGGGAAGTTATTGATAAGAACGATGTTAACGAGAGTTGGGATGCCTTCATGGGGAGTGATATAGCGTCCGGATGAGAGGTTGTGAATGTTCATGATATTTGTGAGGAAGAAGAAGACTTTTCTATGGTGTAGTTTGATTACGGTGTTGCTCCTACTCCTTGTTTGGAGACATGTTTTGAGCTTCCGGTGATGCCTAGAGTAATAAAAGTTTTCACACATGTTCCCTATTCACCTGAAGAGGATGAGAGTTTAATACTTCACTTCTGCGCTGATGAGGGTTATGAAAACCATATGCTGCCTACGTGGACGGAGGAAGTATTATGTCAGTGCTTCATTTAGATATGAAAATACATTCTTCATACCATACAAGTGGAGACGTATGTTGCATTGGTCTTGGACTATTTATAGTTGACAAGTTAATGAAAATGTAATATTTGATAATGTTCATCAAAGTAATAATGCGAAAATTACACTTACACAGGGAAGGGAAGTCCATTTCGCCACAAGTCCACAATAATGAGTCTTCTTTTTTATCAGTATTTCATCCCATCATGGGAATTCTTGTAGTGTGTATTCTATTTGTATTAATCTTCATGAAACTTTTTAGACGTACACAATTAGTAAATTAATACTCATCAACTCGGTGTTCAAATTCAAAATGAACTAGTGTCTTACCAAGATCTTTCATCTCAAGTACAACTTTAAAATATACTACCTCTGTCCTGGTAGACTTTGTCAAGTGTACAGTAGGTGAAAAATAAGAATAGTAAAAAATTGCGTGGTTGAGATTTGTGCATAGGAGAGAGAAGTGTGCAGAACCACAAATTAGTTGCTTTAATAGAAAAGTGGCAAAATTTTTTGAACAAGCAAAAAGGGAAAGTTGGCAAAGTCCAATGAGACGGAGGGAGTATAAAGGTTTATCATATTTCATTATGGATACATATTATGTTTGTATCTACCATATACAATGAAACTTTGGGCCTTTATGCTTGTTAGGCATGCTTCGGTTCTTGTGAGTACATTTGTCGTGGTCGAACCCCATACTGCACCAAGGTCATCGTGTTGAATCCTTCTTTTCCTTGCATTATCGTGTAATGTCCTCTTTACATCTATTTCATCTACTTATGAACTTGGTTTTTAACTATGCTCTACATGCTCGATGATCTTGTGGACACTAATTTTGTAGCAAGTTTACCAAGAATACATTTCTAAGATTCCAAGTCCCTGAAAGCACTTCTTTTAGAACTTAATAGGATCTCACCATTTAAGTTTTATCTTTCATTGTTGGACAATCTGCTAGTTTGGGCAATCTCGTTCACTCTTCCAAGTCCCTCATTAAATGTCTGTTATGTGTAGGTTTCCTGGTGAAGGGCAAATATTCATGGAAGGGAAGCACATGTACTAAGCTAGTTAAACAAGTGGCAGTTGTGTGCATTATATGCAAAAAAATCATTTATTATGTATGAGTGTGCAATATGTACTCATGAAGGTGTAATATGCCATTTTTGCCAGTATATGTAAGGAATAATTCTAAAAATTAGAAAGTCCTTTCAAAAATAGGAGTGGACTTTTTTAGTTTGGGAACAACTTTTGGAAAGAATATTTCAGTTTTGGACTGTCATTGTACATTAAACGTACTTAAAAAACTTTGATGGACATCTATAAAATCTCCCATTTTTATACTCCCTCCGTTTCTAAAAGAACCTCACACTTTCCTTTTTTGGATGTGCCAAAATAAAAGTCACACTTCCCTTATTTCCTTATTTTTCAAAGAAATCTATATCCAAACAGTGCCAAACAGTGCGAAACAGTGACAAACAGTGTCTAAACAGTGTTTTCTACAGTAAAGTCAATTTATTTCCTTAATAATCGTGAAGTCAAACCGTGACTTTCTTTTAGAAATGGAGGGAGTATTTTTAATAGGAGCGAATTATTGGTATACTGAGAATCTAGAATGAAATCATATTGTCATATTTTGGTATTATGGCACATTAATATGAAGGTACTAAGCAATAATTTACAATATATTTCATGATAACTACTCCTATTTTGGGAAAATAAACGTGATACTCCTATTCAGGGCCGTTTTTTAGGAGGGTCAATAGGTTATCCGGAACAGGGCCGCCAAATTTATCTGGCCCCGGTTTTTTAAAAGTTTATTAGTATTATATAGTAATATTATACATTATTCAGTAAAATACAGTTAATAAAGAAAAAAAATATAGATCCATCATTTTTTTCACTGGTTCTTTCACTTTTTAGTTCTCTTTTAAGGAGTATTCAAATGATGTGAGTATAAGTATTTGAATTGAGATTTTCTTAATTTTTTTTTATATTAATGTGGTTATGTGGGGCCTCGACTTTACATTTAGAACTGGGGCCTCCAAATTCATTAGACGGCCATGCTCCTATTTTATAATTCTGCATTGTTTTTACTCATATTTGAGGCAATTTCGGTTTATACTAACTCAAATGTGCAGACACTGGCTATCTGTATTTTGATTTACAGTTGAAGTATTGGAATAAGAGTTAATCAGACTAGGATGTCTTCTCAGCTAATAATTTGGAATGAACATCCATCTTACGCACTACTTACTACTAATGTGTTGGTCTTTCATGGTCTTATCTACAAAAACCACATCTTCAACCCAAGCCACGATGTTGAATGCCAAACTCTCCAACACTCTTGAATAGCTTTCCAATATTGATTTCCCAACATCCTTATAAAAAACCAAAAGAATATATTTAGATTTTTTCAGGACTATGTAATTATTATAAATGCCCAAAGGATAAAAAAGAGATGAATTTTTATATTTATACCTTATTGCATTGGATCTTACACGTGTCCAGTGTTGTTTGTGAGAGTTCAGGGTACCTTTGCTTCAATGAAAACAGCAGACTCTCTGCCCTTTCTGCTAAAACATGATTTTTATCAGTTATATCAATTTCAGAAATGAGATCTTTGACCATCTCCCATGAGGATTTTGCGTGAGATAAACAAGCTTTTCTTCTCCATGTATACATGGAAGCCTCAACCTTGTCTGCAAACTCAAGTGCTTCATGCTCTGAGCTTATGTTTAGACTATCAAGAATATGTTCAGGTGAAAACTTCTCTGCTGAATTCATGTACCGATAAATCGATTCACCCACACTTGCTTTCCCACTCTGAAAAGAAACACAAGCTCAGAAAAGAGTGTTGGACAATCCTCACATCTTTTTTTTTTTGAAAACGACAATCCTCACATCCTAAGAGGTTCTTGAAGTGATTCTTAATACATTATCAAAGTTGTAACTAGATGTGCATCCGTGCAAAAAAACTCTATGGTTTCAATTTCTTCACTTATTCAAATCAGGTATTGGTTTTAACTAGTTTCAACACTAAGATCATTAAAAATTGTATTTTAGCAATTTTTTTTAAATAATCGCTACCCTTAAGATTGTTTTGTAAGTGAGTTTGAGGTGCCATTTCATTACAAACTAAACATCTAATTGTTCAAATCAATACTTGATACTTTTGAGCAAAAAATGGATCATTTAACTTAGACTACGTATGTCAGTAAGACCTTGTATGATCATTACTTTATAGATAGTGTGTGTGTATATATATATATATATATATATATATATAGAGAGAGAGAGAGAGAGGCCTGATCCTGTCCAGCCGGAGGGACAGGACCCGCCGTCCGGCCGTCGCCATTTGGGGCCCTTCCGGGTGGAATTTTTTGCTGAAATTTTTTGAGCATGTTCTTCATGAAGTCTAGTTTATCCATACCAAATTTCAGCTAAAAATTCAATCAGGAAGGCAGTCAAATGATTTTTGGAAGTTAACTGCGCAGTTTATATACATATAAAACGCAGTTATCTTCCAAAAATCATTTGAGTGCCTTCCCGGTTGAGAGCCCGTTTGGTAGGATGAAAATCGGTTGTTTTGGCTGATTTTGCTGAAATTTATGAAGTTCTGGCTGAAGTGGCTGCATTGGCTGATTCTGCTGACTTAAGAACAAAATATTTTTAAAATATAATTTATTAATAAAATAAAGAAAAAATTATAAGTAAAAATAGCTAAAATGATTATTTACAGTAACTTCAGCCAATACAGCCAGAAAAGTAACTTCAACCTTACTTTTTCTGCTTATTACACAATTCAGCACGCGAAAGCAAAAATTAAGTGTTTGGTGAAAAAATTGGCTAATAAGCCTGATAAGCCGAAAAACAGTGTTGCCAAACGGCATCTGAATTTTTAGCTGAAATTTGGTATGGATAAACTAGACTTGATGAGGAACATGCTCAAAAAATTTCATCAAAAAATTCCACCCTCTGATGGCCTTGGCCGGACGGTTCTTCCCGTCCCTCCGGAGGGACCTGATCTTTTCTATATATATATATAATTGAAATTAATGAGAGACATGCACCTTTGGAAGTGAGGCAACGTAAGAATCGGGGATTTTCATATCAGAAAGAATGCTACTGTTAATGGCCATTGCTGCTTTGTGAATCTGGTTAGCACATTTGCTTTTGTGCCTCAAATTCTTCCTTGACTTCTCAGATAACCCACATATCGGAACACAAACAACTGGCAACCACCACTTTTCCTCATTCCTTTGAGGTTGAGGTTGAATTACCCTTCTAAATGATCCATGCCGCCTTGAGTTCCCTGACATGCTTCCTTTCTCTGTGTACCAAAACTCAGTTGTTTCAAAACTGTCCAAAATCTCCTGCAATAGCAGCAGCTTCTAAAATTATAAATTGTAGTATCATTTCTAAACCTTTGGTTACTTATACGGAGTATATTTTTACACTATTTATCTCTAGTGTCTGGAGAAGTATGAACTAAGAACCTGTTTGTTTGGTAAGGCTTAAAATGACGGGAGTAGTTAATTTTTTTAGATTTATTGAGATTCTGAGAATGTGGCTAACATTAATTTACAAAAATATTAAGGCCGGATGTGCTAAGTTATCTACAAAAATATTAGTTTAACCAAGGCCCTGAAAATATAAGTTAATGTTTAGTGAAAAACCAACGCATAGGCATAAAAGAAGACTGCCAAACAGGCTATAAAGATAAAAGAAACTATGGATTTAGGCTTTTAGTAGGCAATGTTTATAATACCAAGAGCATGTTATCCAGTTTTCTCAATGCTGGAAGATTCATGTAGATATCTGATCTTGGCCTACTTGTCATCACCTAGAAATGGGTACGAAAATCACATCAATTATATGAGTAAAAAACATTAAGAAAAAAATACAATGAAGATGAGAATTATTGGAGACTAATTTAAGTTTGTTATTACCTCAATAGTGGTGCCATCCTGTAACTTCTGTGAAGTAGGAAAAAATTCTACTATGTAGTCGCAGACAGAGAGAAGACAATTCATTTCTCTCTTCCACATTAACTTCTTATCAACATTTAAAGGTTCCAATCTCTGGTGCTGACCAAAAACAGAAGCTGGCAACAATAACAACAAAAACATAAAATGATTGTACTTTCAAGAGAAAACGCCTTGAATTGAAGCACTTCTGTTTTCATAAAGTAAGTATTTCTATACTGTTCTCCTTTTAGGTACTACATTATAATCCTCACCTTCATTCAGGGTAGCTAATAGTGTCCAAATACAAAAACAAGAGGAACTTAACGCTAGTCATTATATTCCTACTTGAGCATTCTCTGGTTATCAATTTGCACAATCACTACATGAATAACTAACTTTTTAGACTAGTGACTGGCAGCAAGATATAATCTCCAAAAAAAATCAAGTAATAAAAATGAACACTCCCTCCATGTTCATTTAATTTTTCTGCTAGGCTTAACCAAAGCGGGATTGCTATCCTAGCGGTCTAGCCACATCGGGGTACACAAATCATCTCTTTATGATGAAACTTATGGGTAAAAACTAATCAGTATGATTATTGATAATAAGCAATGACCGGTCAACAGTGGTTTAATTCTAATAAAATGAAATAGTACCAGATCACGCACACTCATACCAGATCAACCTTTGAATACTTGTTTAGGGATCAAAGTAAAATATACAAGTAATCAACACGTGAAGAAAAACAAGCCAAAAAACATTCTTATACCTCTCAACTTCTCAAGTAATCAATGTCATACTTATTTGTAAAAAACATAAAAATTTAAGTTTCAAATTTTGAGGTAAAGTTGTATCATGTACACGAGCACATAAATAAAACATGGAAACAGTAAGATAGAAGTCATGCATGCAGCATGAACCTAAAAGGACAAGGCACATACATGCAAGTGTGACCCAGGTGTGAGAAATCCTATCATATTGTTAGGGATGGGAAACAAACTAGGTAGAGATCTAAAGACATGTTACTACAAAGATTATAATTTTATATACAAAGAAGCAAGCTTCTCACTGTCATGCTGATATACATGACAGCAACCAAAGTCCTAGAACATGTGTATACTAATTTTTTATACTACGTATTTCACTTATTTCCAAGCACTGCACAAGTCATCACAACAAGAGGAAACATTCCACTCCTATTTAGAGGGCACTGCTGTATTATTATTGTTTTTCATATTTTTCAAACCCTGGAACAAATGATTGAATTTTTTATTTATTTGTGGAATACTAAAATATATTGGTCCTGACTAAATTAGTTTTTCCAATATTAATGACTTCCTCCTTCCCAAAATAATTTTCAGTTTTATTGTTTTGCCCAATGAAGTCATATTTTATTCTCTAATTTCGAGTACTGTTTTTTATACTCTGTATTTGAAATTGGTGTTTGGGATGCAATATAACTTTTAAATATTTAAATTTCGACAATTTCGACTATAGACAATTTATCGTCCATCAATACAAGACATACAAATTTGTAATATCCTTTGTCGACTTAAAGGAAGTATAAAGTATACATGAAAATGTATAGTTACTAAACACAGAAAATAAAGAAAAAGAATATTACCAAAATGATAATTTGGTAATACAGAAAATGCAATGTGTAGGACTTGGAAGAACAAGAGAAGTACAGAAAATGCAATGTATTGGATTTAGAACAAAAAATATAGAAACTGTAATGTATATATATAACATTACCAAAAAGATTAGTAATGGAATTTGAGATTGTTAGTGCTGTAGACACCCCTTTACCACTTCCAGACATGTCTTCTCCCAACAACAGCTTTGAAAACCTTTCCTTCATCAATTCCATCTCTGCAACCAAATTGTTGTAGCACAAAATCCTCATTAGACAAAATAAAATAAAAGTGCAGTATCACAGGATCATCATCTACTAGCTTTGTCGCCTCCTCACCTAAATCAACTGTCTCAGGATCATCTGCAGTGTTCTTGTGATGTCTAATTCCAAGCCGTGAAAGGGCGTTACGGATTGGGGATTTGAAGAGCGGAAATATCACAGGGGACGATGTCCCAGAACCGCCATTATCATCTGTCGAGGTCTCTGAATTTGTTCTGCAATACCCGAAAGAAGAATCCCCACTCAATGCCGCTGTTACTCTGGGGGATTCATCTGTTTCTTGATCATAACTCTCCTCCGAGTTCGACGATAAATTATCCATTTCTGGAAAATCCAGCCAATTTTATTTTTAAACAAGTCCAAGAAACCTAACAAAATCAGACTCCACCTGCAATAATAAGGTGAGGAAGTGGACATTTATTTATATGATGTTGAAAAATATAAATAGTTTTCAAGTATGAGAAAGGGTTTCAGCAGTTCAAGATTTGAGGCCCGGGAAACTAAAAATGGTAAAAGAAAGGGAAAGCGAAACCCCAAGTAAAGTAAAAGAGGATTCTTTCCATGTGCAGATTTGAATAAAAGGAGAGAATTTGAAAATTTAAGGGATAACGGTAAACTACAATCTTGAACTTATTCAGTGTTTAATAGCAAGATTTGAATTCGAACAATCACTGTTAGTAAAGTGCCTATCCTGCTACTATCTCAACTTCTACTCAGTAGTTGAGCACCTTTTTGAGCTTTTTCCTGCAAAAAAGAAGGGCCCGTCTTTCCTTGACCATGAAGCTTCTATGTTTCAACAATTCTCATGTTTCAAAGGGTTGGTCCAACTTCAATCACACCAAGTTAAAGGCTTTCAAACGGAAAAAAGTGATTAGTAGTAAAAGTGGTTAGTGTTTGGTAAAATAAGTGTTTTTTGTGTAATTGAAAAAATAAAAAGTAGATTCTACACGAAAACCGAGAAAGTAAAAGTTGATAGTGTTTGGTAAAATAAGCGTTTTTTTCTTAAAAAAAGCCACAAACACTTTATTTAAGTGTTTGCAAACAAGCCCTAAATTCACACAAAGTAAGAGAGATTGTTAAGACCGAAGAGGTATAAAAGAAAAGATAAAATAGAAAAAATAAAAGGCAATGGAGTGTTTTTAAAGAAAAAACTTACAAAAAGAAAAAATCATAGCAAACTTTAATTAAGTACATCCAAAAAGGAAAGTATAGTAAATATTAAAATACTGAGGGAGTATATGTTTTTTTCTTATTCTATATTGTTATATATTATATTCATTAATTCCATAAACTACATAAAAAGTTAATTAAGTACAAATAAATATATATAATCTTTTTTTTTTTTACCATTTTTACTTATTTATGGAAATTTTAATTTAATATTTGTGTCTAACAAAAATCGACAGATGATAGTTGAGATTATTATAATATGAATTTTTTTAATTGACTAAACAAGACGGGGAATCCTGATGCGGACGTCTCTAGGTTTTCTACCTAGTTTAGTTTCTACCAGCGGCGGCGGTACGGCCGTTCTATCCGGGTCGTTTTTGTTCTGCCTCGGTGCGTATTGCATCAGTCCAACCGGTGGCACACCTGGCTTGCTTCTCTTTATGAAATTGGAGGCGAGACGAAGGGTGAGACTGTTATCTATTCGATGTTGCGGGTTCGTCTTTCACAGAAGAAAAACAGATTAATTTCAGGGGCAGATGAGTGTTCTCAGTTGGAATTGCAGGGGCTTGAATAATCCGGCAACTATTCAATGTTTGACTGATTTGATTAGTTTATACTGACCGACGATTGTTTTTCTCATGGAAACAAAAGTTCGGTGTCAGCGTGCAAAAGAGATAATGCGGTCATAGGGGCTGACTCACTCGGAAGGAATGGACAGTGTGGGACGAAGCGGGGGACTGGTTTTGGGATGGAGAGACGAGGCTGAAGTGGAAGTGACAAAGATTGACCATAACTTTTGGACAGCCGGGTTGTACTAAGAGAAAACGAAGTGCCGTGGAGGTTAACAGGCTATTACGGGTTTCACGGGTTTCCTGACACTATCTGACGGCGAGCGGCATGGAACATGATGAAGGAATTGGCTGTCGGGAATAACAATCCATGAATGATGACTGGAGATTTTAATGATATACTTTTTGATTCGGAGAAAAAGGAAACGTTCCACATCCCCCATGGAGGATTCGGGGTTTCCGGGAGACAGTGGATAGCTGTGGTCTGAGAGATTTTCCTTTTTCAGGTTATCAATGGACCTGGGATAGGGGGAAGGGCACAACTCATTGGGTGGAGGAGAAAGTCGTCCGTATATGTACTTGTTAATGATGCCTGGTGGGATATGTTCACAGGAGCTCAAGCTGCGTCATTGGAGGCTCCGGTGAGTGACCATATGGCACTTCATGTGCAGGTAAAATGTACTTCTCCGAATGGTAGGAAAAAGTTTTTTAAATTTGAGAATAATTGGATTAAGGAGGAGGAATGTAGGATAGTTGTAGCTAATAGTTGGGGAGCAACCGGTCAAATGCCTATAAATGAAAGAATTGGTTTTTGTGGTAATGAATTGCTTAGATGGGACAGGGGGAGGAAGAGGGGTTTCCGGCACCAGATTATGGCGTGCAAGTCAAGACTAGCCTGGTTAAGGGGCAAGGATGATCGTGCAAGTGTTCAGATGGAATGAATCTCGCTTTTTTCGGGCTTATTGGGATGTAATGGGGCCAGATATCTCGGCTCTATGCTCGGAGATATTTGAGTCAGGTAATCTGGATGAACATATTAATACGACTAAAATTGTGCTTATTCCAAAACTTGACAAGCCCGAGAGCATGGGTGATTGGAGGCCAATTGCGTTGTGTAATGTGATCTATAAAAATTAATTCTAAAGTTCTCGCTAACAGGCTAAAAGGCATCCTGGATAATCTAGTTGGAGAATGTCAGAGTGCCTTTGTTCATGGGAGGTCGATTATTGATAATATAATTGTGGCATTTGAAACTAATCACTATATGAAGAGGAAGACTAGCGGTAAAGAGGGTTTTGTCGCGCTAAAACTCCACATGAGTAAAGTTTATGACAGAGTTAGCGGGTCTTTCTTGGAAGGTATATTAGTTAAAATGGGTTTCAGCGAGAGATGGGTCCAGATGATTATGGAGTGTGTGAAGACTGTCAGATACTATATCCAATTTGATGGGGATTTATTGGGGCCTATTACGCCGGGTAGGGGGCTACGTCAGGGAGATCCTCTATCTCCCTATCTATTCATATTAGTGGCTGAAGGGCTGAGTGCTTTAATTAGAAGAGCCGAGAACAAGGGAGATTTACACGGGGTTGTGGTGTACAGAGGAGCACCTCGAGTGTCTCACTTATTTTTTGCTGATGATAGTTTTCTGTTTTTCAAAGTTTCAGGGGAGGAGTGCAACATGGTGAGAAATATTTTGGCTGAGTATGAGGCGTCCTCGGGACAGGAAATTAATTTTCTAAAATCTTCGATTACTTTCAGTCAAAATGTGACCGAGCCTTTCCATATGCATTGTTGTACTTTTTTTGGTGTACCGTAGGAGGGAGGTCAGCAAAAATATTTGGGCTTGCCTAGTCTGGTGGGACGCAACAAAACAGCCATCCTAGGGTTTATCAGGGACATAATTTTAAATTCGATAAAAAGTTGGAATAATCGATTTTTATCTAGGGCAGGTAGAGCGGTTCTTTTACGTAATGTGGTGCAAGCTATGCCCACGTATGCTATGAATGTTTTTCTGCTACCACAGGATCTTTGTGATGAGGTGGAAAAACTCATGAATGGTTTCTGGTGGAAAGGGACAAAATTTGAAGAGAGAGGCATACAGTGGCGGAGATGGGAATTGCTATGTAAACCAAAAGGTATGGGGGGTCTGGGATTCAGGAAATTGAGGGAATTTAATCTAGCAATGTTAGCTAAACAAGACTGGATGATTATCACAAATCCGAACGGTCTGATGAGCCGTGTGCTAAAGGTCAGATACTTCCCAAATACTGATTTTCTGAAGGGAGCTATTGGAAATAACCCATCATATATTATGAAGGAGTATTCATGAAACCCAAGGCATGTTGAATGCTAATATAAGAAGGCGAGCAGGTAATGGGAGGAAGACACGGGTTTTGGTAGACGCCTGGCTGCCGGGTCAGGGGGGTGGAAAAGTAAAATCTCCTAGACCCGCTGGGATAGCTGATATGAATGTAGCGACTTGATATGCACTAATTAGTAGTGCATAAGTGTATGTTTTTATGTTTGATTTGTGTGGATTGTTTACCATTTTATTTAGTTAATAAACATTTGTGTGATTTTAGTTGTAATTGTATTTTAGTTCTCATTTGTAAGTTGTAAAGTAGAGTTAGGATTTATGGTGTTGGAAAGGAAGACTTTAAATGTGAAGAAAAATAATTCTTGGCTGCCCAGGAAAATCACCCGGTCGGGTGAGGTATTGCACCCGGTCGGGTGAGAAATTTAAATGCGAAACTGCTCAGGAAATTACATCACCCGGTCGGGTGAGGTATTTCACCCGGTCGGGTCCGACTTGACCCGGAACACCAGAACGTGCCGAAGATCGCCAGAACGTGGAAGATATTTGATTTTGACATGCACCCGGTCGGGTGGGCACTTTACCCGGTCGGGTACCCGGCCAAAGGTGTTGAAAAACACCTATAAATAGCCCCATTTTCCTTCACAAATCATCAACTCCTTCTTCCATACTCTTAAGCTCAACTTAGAATAGTATTTCTTTTATATTTTTAGCATGTTTAGTCTCCAAATGAGGAGCTAAACTTCCATTTCTTGGTGTTGCTCTTGAAGCTTGTTGATTATTAAAGTTGTGAGTTATTTTCTTAACTTCTTCCCTTGAATATTAATTATTCTCTTAATCTATCTATATATTAATGTTGGGGAGTGTTGCTAAGATGACAATTAGTTAACATCTCGACATTAGTTATAGTAGTATTTATTTTCTTCCTCTATATATTAATGTTGGGGAGTGTTGCTAAGATGACAATTAGATAACATCTTGACATTAGTTATAGTAGGATTATTCATATTTAATCTTCTTCCTTGAATATTAATTCTTCCCTTAATCTATCTCTATATTAATGTTGGGGAGTGTTGCTAAGATGACAATTAGTTAACATCTCGACATTAATTACTACTAGAAACGATCAACGAACCGATGGTTAATCGTTGATGGTTTCACAAGTAAGTAACTTCGGTTTATTAATGCACGGTCGTGGTTAATAAACTTAAGAGGGATTAATTTTGTTGGTTAAACCGAAACCGTTGTGTTGAGGTTATCAATCTCAATTGATTTCATCAAGGAGTTAAGAGATTAAATGCTACTATTAAGTCGGTATATGGCGGTGTTCTATACATGACTAATAGTAAGGGTTATTAATGAACGGTCGTTGTTAATAACTACCCTCGATGAATTGGATATACTCCTCGATTGAGTATTCGAGAGGGGATTAGTTATAGATATAACAATGATCGACTAAAATATATCAACAAGTGGAAAGTAGCAATGCCAAGTCCTTTTTATCTTTAAATTAAGTTGTTCATCTTTATGTTTAATTAAGTTAAATCATTCAATCCCAAAACCCCCCTTTTTATTTATTAGTTTTATAAAAAGAGAATTATTCCTTTCCCTGTGGATACGAACTCTACTACGCTATACTACGTATAAGTGTTAGTATTGAATTTATTTTGAGTGCACACACGACAAAGTGCACGTCAAATTTGGCGCCGTTGCCGGGGAAAGGTAATTATTTTTCTTTTTATT